CGAGGTTGTTTAACATTCTATATAAGTCTACATTGTTATTCACGTGTGTTCAAATATGCACACGCATTATCCTGATTATACATTAATTGATCATGTTTTTATTTGTTGTTCGTAGCTTATGAATCATATTGTTTAAAAACCAAAAAAAATGTAAATCTGCGCGCGCTAAAATATAAAAATATGCTCGTATGTAAACATCGCGAGAGATTTAAACGTATCAATTGTAAAATTGGTTTCATTGAAGCGTTTCTCATTGAGTAACAGGAAATTGATACCATAGTAATGATCGAACGCGCACCGTCGAAACAAACATACGGCAACGGCATGCAAAATGATCGCAGCGGGAAACATCAAATCCCCCCCGCGCGCGCGCGCGCGCGATATCGGGTTGTGTCCGTAAATGCGGTCCTCCTATCCCCGGGGAGACTGATTTGCGACCGAGCCACCCCCGTTAATATCCTTATAATTGGTTAAAACCCGTAACTGATGAGCGAACTGTTATTATGCGAGCGAAGACCCTCGGTTCGCTTGATTCAGCGATGGGTGTTCACGGGATACGGTTCGACACCTCTTCATTACCCTCTTCATCCCTCCATAGAACCGGCGGTGGCAGGGACGCCCGGCATTATGGCGGCCTCCGTATTGTCATTGTATCACGGATCGCCGAGGATCGTCCGCTCCGATGCAGGATTCGCGCGAGCGTACGCTCAACTAAGCTGATACGCGCAAAAATTCGTTCGATTCACATTTCAGCGCCGCGCTTCATTCGAGATCAGATTCATCGAGAGATACGTAGCGGATTTGTGTGCGGAAATAATAGGTATTATATTGAGTTTACTCCAATGCACGCAGTTTTTCTGATATACTATTTTTTTTCATACACACACACACACACACAAACTTGTTTAGGTTTTTACTTGTATAAAGTGTGTGTAGATTAAAAGAGAGAATTGATTTGCTTTTTTTTAAGCTAGATACAATAATATTTTCAAGATGGCGATATAAGTAAAGAATTACGTTTTAATTTCTTAACGTTGAAATAATTTAATTTCTTAAATTTTTTTCTTCTTAGAAAACGATATCATTTCAAATAGCATCTCTGCCAGTATCTCCGAACCGTTTTGACGATGCAACGGCGGTTTCTAGCGATTTCACGGTACATCGAACAGGGGCGGTTCCTTCCTTCGCAGGGCAAAATTTCAAAACCGGAATCGCGCTAGAGCGAGTCGACTTAAAAGACGGCCGATACAGTTATTTTGCTATGCCTTCGACGGGGAGAACGCCGTCGTACGACGTCGGGATTCTCGAGGGACTTGTAAATGGAAGCAAGAAGCCGACAACTCAAGAAGCAGCACGACATCGGTTCCAGGTGTTGATAATCCGTTCGTAATTGTGCCTTCGCTACGCGGATAATTCCCGCATTAAATACCACTAAATACTTGTTTGTATACAAATCCTGCTGTGCGCGACCGAGACTCTTTTGCACCTCTTCTGAAGAGAACCGAAACTGCCGTACATATAGAAGAAGCGTATTTGTTATATTTATTTGCTCCGTCGGTTCAGTACAATGATATTATATCCTCGGATATATTAATACAAAAATTTATTATGCATAAAAGAAAACGTTGACAATGAAAATTTATTATAAATAATTACATACATAAAATAAAGACACGGGAGGAAAACTTGATAAGTCCATTTTTTCAATTTTTTGATGTTATTTGATAGTTAAAATGAAGTATCTTAATTATTCAAAGCAAGAGAGGAACATTCTTGATAGATTCCGAGATGTAAGCAGTTTTACAAAACTTATGCAGCGAAATAATAAATAACCCATATGTTTCGAGCTTTAAAAAATCGCTCTTCTTTAAAATTACGAAAATGTGACTTATACAGTTGTTCTTCTGTGGTTTTTATATACAAATAATATGTATATATTAAATAATATAAACAGTACACATATATAATATATATACTATATAAATTAATTTTGATTATTTTAATTCTTTTATCAATAAAAGTAAACTTCAATAGAGACCCGACAAAAAACAATAGATAAAACATCGTGTAATACATCGATATACTAATAAAACACTTTTTTTTTTACAATATGTTAACATTTAATTTTGTACGTATATCATTGTAATTAATTCTCTCTCTTTCTCTAAGATAATTTCTCAGAATTGAGTGATATATACGGTCAGGATGGTGTACATCCAATACCGGTATCACCATACTCGAGATGCATTAGTGAGATACGGTGCGTCGCGTATCGACCACGAAAGTATTTCAATGACAGGCCCGTGTTACATCGCAAACATCGCTGTGTTCCTCGTTGACACGAACGTAGCGTCCTATAGAGGGCCGTCGATCTCGTAACGACCGACAGTATTTGATAAGAGGGCACCGGTGGCCTCGATGGTCGGATGAGTCCGGATTTAATGGATAGAGGACAGATTCTGCAGATACATCAGAGAACCGGCGCGCGATATCTCGCGCAAACATCAGGACAGGAGCACGTTGTCTTCTCTCTGTCCCTCCTCGATGCTCTCCGAGTTCCGCAACCCCCTTAATCAACCCGTCCTCAACTTGCCTCCCGCTCTCTTTCACGCAGCCACTATCTTCCTTGGCTGCGCTTTCAATCTCTGTTTCGTTCTAAATCACGACATTCTCTTCTTTCCCCTCTTCCTCTCTCTCTCTCTCTCTCTTATCTTTCTTTCTTTTTCTATTCCGCGCGAGCGAGGATCGCATCATCTCTAAGAGTAGATGAAGCGTTGTGTGTGTTTTTCTTTCTTTCTCTTGTAACATTCTCTGTGACGATCGACCGATTTCGACCCCGATATCGACCCACTTTTCCTCTCCCGCGTGATTATGTAACACATGGAATATCAAGGTAGACGCGCTTAAGGGGCGGTTCTCGCTCGGTTGCTAGGGATCACCTGAACTGATACGATCGAAAGATTAGCTCGTACACACCCTCGTTACATGTATCGCGCCAGGGATTAAACCTTTCTCTGCTCGTGATCAATGATTTTATGAAGAAGAAGACGCGCGCGCGCACGCGCGAAAGATCTTAATTCTTGCACATGTGCCGGGAAAATACGGTGTGATCACACAGACATTGGGATTGGAAAAGAGATTAAAAAAAAAAATATTTCATTTGGTATCGATGAATTTATTGTGCATTGGATCGATTCATATTTACAACAGGGACACATACATATATGCATTTTCATCTACTCTACCGATTATCTATATGTATAATGTCTTGGTTTTTGAGTGTGTTACGCTTAATTAATTCCCACCGCGAATTACCTTGCCGCTTATCTAGTTTGCACAACACATACACAGACGAGAGAGTCTGCTACACGGCTTATACTTCACGTTAAAAATAAATTTACACGATACGAAACAAACACCATTCTTTTGTTGTAAATAAATAAATAAATAATTTTGTGCTCCACACAAAAACATAGGAGGGGGGGCGGCGTTATCAAATTTATATTAGCACAATGGAAAATAACGTTTACGTTTGTTAACGTGTATTTTTTTTTTTCATTTACCGCAAGAAGTAAATAAAAATGCATAAATAGATAATATGAGTTACAATAATAATACTTTTTTTTTTTATAAACATCCTCCATAATTTCGGTTTTTTATTGCAAAGCTTTTAATGATCGTAGTTGCGTTTATATATATGTACATATATATATATATATATATGTATATATATAGCCACGCTGATCATAATTTAACTATAATACTTATACAATAATAATAATATATATATATATATATATATAATAGTGACCAACATTTTATTTGCTATCTATGATTCACTTAAAGCTACTATCACACCAATTTATACATTTGCCTAAAAGTAGATAGATATGCGTGATCATGTAAGAGAGATTGTGTTTTTCTTATGTCAATGTGTATGTATCGTTGATTCTTATCGATAATTTTGATTAAAACAAAATCGTTTTTCATTCTTTGTTTTTGACATTTCTGTCTTGACGCAATAAAAATAAAAATCTTTACATAACGCAATATTGTTGTTTTCTCAAAGATTTCAATATACGGTTTTAAATGTGTGTATGCGTGTGTGTGTGTGTTTGTTCATTTCCGTTACAAAAAGTTTACACAGCGCTGCGTGGAAATATTTATAGCTGGGATCCGTGCAAAAGTATCACGTTGAAAATAAACCGATACAAAAGAATATTGATTTAATCTCTCAACGACAAATATATAAATATCATATTTTCGCTATTTTCTCTCTCTCTCCTCGCACAAACATATATTTATATTTCGAACTTTATATTCCTGACGCCCGCCATCCGCACAGAGGACAGTTAATACAAAAATGGAATTCGAAGACAAATACTACGTGAGATCTGGACGAAGTTTTGATAAGCTTTTCGGACGTCATATATCCTCCCCATACATATGACTGTCCGTCAGTCTCTGCACCGCGTTCGCGAGACGATCATAATTACAGATCGCTTTTGCTAATAATTCTCATTCTCGTCCACCGTTTACGCGCATAATGTTATATTCGCTTTGCACATACAAATATATACAAATATTTACATATATATGTGCGTGTGTAATTAACCCGCAAGAATTCATTGATGCAACCACCGTCCAGCCAAATCCGATCATGAAAACACGTTCTGAATTGGCGGAGCAATTGATAGGGCGTCTCTACGTTCTTGTTGATTTACTCTCCCGCGATGTGTTGATTTCACCCTACGAATTATTTGCAATATCCAACATGTCCGGTAAATCTCGTGCGATCTGAAATGCCGATCGGGGAAATATAAATGAAAATGTGCACTATGTAACTCGCAATTCGAACGGAAGTTTGACGGTTGCATCTCTATTTACAGCATACAATTCGGACTGATAAAATAAATTCAATTCAATAAGTTTTGTAAAATACTAATAAAAAAATATTTTAAAAAATGTAAAAAAATTAATTTGGTTGCAACAGTGTTTTTTTTTTTTTTAAATTAAGTTATACAATTAAAAACCTCGAGCAATAATTTTTGACGCGAGTCATTTGATCGAGTTAATTCAACTTTTATTCATTTATTTCGAACGAATGATCAATATCTGTGTGTGTGTGTATATATATATGTGTGTATGTTTTCAGTAATATCGATTTTTTTCCATACTGAAATTTCCGTCGCAACTCCTCAGTGTTATATTTCATTTATTTTCAGCAAAATACGTGATACACGTGACGCGCGAATGTATATTCTCCGTATTTCATCCTCGACGAGATCGAGAAAGATACTCTCTCTCTCTCTGTTTTTTACGGTAAGAGACAATGTCGAATATTTAACGTCTCTTACTCTTTTTTTTTCACTTGGAAGTCTGCGCCAGCTGAGCCATGTCAGTCGAGTAACAAGGTGAGCCGAGAATGAGCGGATACTGAGTCTTCCTGGGATAGTGCATGTTCTCGCTCTGTCACAACATCTTGCTTAGGGAGTGGTAACTGGTGGATCCGGATGGGGGTAATATGAACGGACTGACGATGGAGTGTTCCGGACCGTGGTACACCGATGAGTAACCCGACTGGTTGTGACTCTGACTCGTGGTGTCCAGTCCGTTTAGCACCGGCGAGCCCGTGTCGTGCAGCTTCCGCATGTGCTTCTTGAGGTCGAAGTTCCTGCAAAAACCCTTGCCGCAGATCTTGCAAGAAAACGGCTTCTTGTCGTTGTGCGTGTGCATGTGAAAGGTCAAATTGTAGATCTGGTGGAACGCTTTGTTGCAGATGTTGCACTTGTACGCCTTCTCGCCGCTGTGCGTGAGCTTGTGATTCTTGTAGTTGCCCTTCTGATGAAAGCCCTTGCCGCAAAATTCGCACACAAACGGCTTGAAGTTGGCGTGTATGCGCGTGTGGGTGTTCAGGGTTGAGCTGCGGTTGAAGGCCTTGCCGCAGGTCACGCATTTGTGCGGCTTCTCGGCGGTGTGAATGATCTTGTGCCGGCAGAGAGTGCTCGCCTGTCGGAAACCCTTGCCGCAGATCTTGCAGACGAATGGCCGGGCGCCCGTGTGTACCGGCATGTGCCGCGTCAGATTGTAATGCGCGTTGAACACCTTGCCGCACTCCGGACAGGTGAAAGTCTTTTGCTTGTTCGCGGCGCCGAGCTCGCTGCGCGGCGCCGGACTCTTTTTGCCGCGCTGATTCTCCGGCGATATGTTAGTCAGACTCAGTCTGGAGGAAGCTTCCTGGATCGCCGTGGGAGACGGCGAACTCTGCGTAACCGACGGGGTCGACGCGGGCGGACCCGGAAAAGCTCTCAGCAAAGGACTCGGATAATACAGCGGATAGTACTTGGACAATACGGGATAATGTTGAAGTAGATCCTGATGCCTTAGAGTCGGCACGTATTTCTCGAACGCGGACTTGAGATGCGCCGAGTACGACGGGGAGGAAATGTTCGGTGGTTGTTGAAGAATGGTCGTCGTCGTCGTTGGCGGTGCCGGCGGCAGCGGTGGAGGAGGAGGCACCGGGTTAGCGTTCTGCTCGGTCAATCGCTTGTCCGGTTCCATGATTTTCGCGATGGAGAAGGTGAGATTTCGGCAGGGCGTCGGAGAAGTCACCCTCTCGGGCGGCAAGCTCGTTGGTGTCTCGGTCGCCATCGTGCTGCCCGTCGCGAATGGTTGCATAGTAGGCCTGAAATAAAAATACTGACCATCAAACAACATTTTCCCGGAGCGTCGGGATTTATCTACGGTCGAGGGTGAGTCGCGTGAGAGGGGGGCTCGGAAGAGCACTCCCTTAATGCTTAACACCGCCCATTGACTGATTTCTGTCGGGATTTCAATGCCCCGTGAATCTTTTGTGCGAGAAAAGCAATCTCTTTGTTTGTGGTCTCAGGAATTCTATCTACACACACGCGATATATTTAGTTAAAAAACATTCAATGTTTCTCTCTCTTTCTTTTTCGACATCTAATCGATACGAATCGATGAAAACAATGTTTGAATAAGTGTGTATCTATCTGATCTTTTTTTTTTTTTAATAAAATAAAATCTTTTTATTATCTTGAGAACTAATTTGAGATAAAAATATTGATGTTTACAATTGTTTGATAGCGCGTCAAGCGTGCACGAACCCTTTGCTAATCGCTCGAAAGGGGAGTATCCAAATGATGGCGCTCAATTTGATGACTTCGAGGGTCACGTTTCCGACAAGTCTCCCTTCGCAGTCCTCACAGTGTTTTAGCGCACACCGACGGGACCCACATGTCAGTAAGATCCGAGCGAAACATGCGGTTGTATTCAGTCGATTAAACATCCGTGCTCATATAAGAAAAAAAAAGAATATCGCGTACATTAAAGAACAAAAAAAAAAAAAAGATCAATAAACAACGCTCGTCTCTTCAATATATTGAATCGTTCGTAATTAACCATTTGAAACACCTTGTTGATATATTTCCAAATATTTTGATGTCACGTAATACGAATGCCGCTTACTAGAAGGTACATGTATGGAATTTAAATTTGTGCATGACAACTACGTATAGTAGATAGATACATGCGAGCCAACTATTAAGCGTATGCAACGTGCAAGAGCGAGAAATGAATGGTGGAACTTGAATGAGACGCGAAATGGTCAGCACAGCAGAAGAGCAAGCTTCCCCGGAGGTACCGCAGGAGGTTTGCACGTCAAAAAGTAGAAATGTTTGCTCCGTGGAATGGCGTTATGTTTGGACTTGGAATGACGGTTGGAATTGGATGGGACCTCGTTGGCAATCCTGAGAAATACTTGTAGCTTGGTCGCACAACAATCGTCGAGATAGAACCTCGACTGAAATAAGTTTGCGTGGGATAAAATGTATGTCCGTCATTAAAGTTAAATAAATAAACTACGCAACATCTCTGCTTCTGGATCTGTAACATCTGTTTCTGGATCAAACATATTTGTTTGTTTGTTTTTTTTTCTAAGTAATATTGATTAAAAGTTCTTCGTTCTGTTAAAGTTCTGTAAAACTGAGTATTTATTTTTGCGATAAAAATCGAGTCTCATCTTCTTGTCACGTAACAAATATTTCCTTTGTTTCTTGAAAAACAAAAAACACGTAATTACTATACTATAATTATATTTTTATTTGATTTCACAATATAAATATATATTTTAATTTATGTATAATTGGAATCTTGTTACGAGTTCACGCTAATCAGTAATTTTTTTTTCATTGCAACGATCCGTGGAAACGTTACATAATATACGGCGCTTTAACTTTCGTTCTTTCGCACTCGGCTGAAACTTCTTTTCCGAAAAAGTGAAGGGAACACGCTTACTGGATGAAAACATCACGCAGTGGTTGTTCGATAGTCCCGCCCATCATCGGATACCTTCCGATTGTCCCTCTCCAGACTGGAGACGGCCCTAATAACCGGGTAGTAGGAAAGACCTACCCTCGGTGTGAGAAATGAGATTGGAGCAGGGAAAACTACCTTGTTCTCGCGCGCAATGTATCCCGGAATCCGCCTCTCTATAGGCTTTAGAAAAGCGTCGCAGACAGCGCGTCGCGACGCTTCCAGCTTCCAGCGCCATGGAAGGGCGTAACTGCCAACTCAAGTATACCACCGACAAAAGGACACGATTATGTATCACGAAAGCACGTCTTGGAACTCTTCCAAGGTAAGCTCGAAGTAGTCGTCGTCCCTTACGCCATTTTGCGTCTTTGTTGCTCCGTTCCGCTTCTCGCCGCTTCAGCAAATGCTTTTCGCGGCTGCGAAATTTTTGTTTTAAACGTTTCTATCTACATTTTCAAACTTTGCTCTCTTCCGCAATGCTCTCGTAATTTCGATTTCTTGTGTGTATGTTCTTTCTTTTTTATACAAGCAAAATTACATTATTAGATTTTTTTTAAATTGTTTATTTAATCTTCTCTTTCTCGGTCAATTTCTCTCGTCCGTGCGCTTCAAATCAAGCCATTTTCTTTATTTCTTACGCACCGTCATCGTTTCTTTTCCCTTTCCCTTTGTGTCTTTTCATCGTCTTCTCGGTTACTCGCTTCCAACATTATCCTCGATTCCCTTCTCACACTCTCCTCATTCACACGCTTCTCCCTTCTCTACTGTCTTCACCCTCACGCATCCTCCTTCCCATTCTCACGCTTCTCCCTCCATCTTTTTTTTTTGCCCCATCTCTTTCGCCTCGTCTCTCTTGCGCTCTCTCTTTCTTCGTGGTGCCGTCTCGCACGTTACCTGAAGCTATACTTTTGTCCTTCTCTCCTCGCGCCGTCAATCCATCTCCTCGTTCCCGCGCCATTCTCTTCTCGTATCATTTCGCACGACAAAGACAGAGCGAGCCCACGCCGGCGGAGGGGATGAACGAGAACAGATTGGCGGAGACTATCATCGGCCGCGCGAGGGTGCAAGAAGCGAGGGGTGGCGGATCGCGGCGTGGTGGGGGCCGGCATTGTTACAGTACTTAACGAGCGGCCGTGGCAATCAGTATCGTTCCCCGCTACCGAGACCTGTGGCACCCGACAATTCTACCAATTTATATCAATCCTGGCCGCGCGCGAAGCATGGCCGACATGCACAGTCAGAGAGAGAGACCATTTTGTTTCCTTAATGCCACTCGACTCAATCGACGGCGAATACGTCCCACGCGATTGCCAACGCTGCCATTTGCTCCTTTCGCGAGCTCGATGGGTTTCCGCGAATCATTTCTCTTCTTCGCGGAATTCGAATGTAAAAATTAAAAGGAGAAAGAGAGCGGACATGTTTGACTAAATATGTAATTTGTGAGAAAGTATTGTAAAAGTATATAAAAAATATACATAAATATATGATAAAACAAAATAGCAGTTAGATATCATGTAGATATAGATGTCAGCTCGAGAGGATATGATTTATAACAATAAAAAATGGAGACGCGGAATAAATACATATCTATAAGAAATTGTACATTAAGCGCTCTTTTATTTTTGAAGAAAGTTTCTTTTAAAAAAGAAAAAACGTACGTTTTAATTCGCACGAATGATGATTGCGTGAAAACAAAACCGAAAATATTTGTGTGAGAACGAAATATTTCGGAAACAAACGTTGCTCAAAGTATAAATTTTGCACAAAAGACGCACAGACTTGCCGCGAAGGCAAGAGCGGGCTTTCGTGACTGGCTCGATAAATGCGAGGCGCAACCCCTTCGCGAACGAGCGATCTATCTAGCGGTAAGAATTAAATCGCAGGCGCTAAATGTACAAAGTTTACCGATGTGGTACAAACGATCGGAAGAATCCAATCACCCCCTCCCACCGCCACCCAGTAAACTATTAGCGGCGATGAGCGGATAGCTCCGAACTTAAAGAAAAGTTGAAGGGGTTCGAAGGAACTTGAAATGGCTTTGCAAATTTGCCCGTCTCGTTGTCAGTCTGTTAATTGCCTTTCTCTACTCCCCCTCTCCCTCCTCCCCCCCTCTCTTTCTCTCTCTCTTTCTCTCTTCTTGTCTCTGTCAAGATTTCGTTCTCTTGTGAGATTGTTTACCGTCTGTCATAATCAAGGAAACAATTAAGAGATTTATACTGAACTGGACATCGTCGTGTTTCACCGTTGTCTTTACCGTAAAATACTTTTTAAGCGCGTTTACGCGGACTTGCAAATGCGACCGTCTGAAGATTGTCCGCGTTGTCTTTCTTCGAGTTTCTTTAGGTCCTCTCTGTGATCAATACTTTAAGACTAAAAGAGCGACGTTATCCTTGCTATTACCGCAGCCTTGTGTCCTTTCTGTTTGAAGACTCTTTTCTTGAGCTACTTTAAAACTCGAAATGTAAATCAACAATTAAATGTAATAAAGGAGCAGTAATATTTCTCTCTTACTTTGTTTGTTAAACTAATAAGAATTCAAGAAAGAACTTACAGTAACATTATATGTATATATATATATATAATTACACATGAACGTGTGAAGACACATGCATCTAGTTAAACTAGTTGACCTCAAAATCACACGCACACACATAGTAAGCGCAAAAACAAGCCATTTGACTCAGCGAATCCCTTGTATGAACATCCTAGAATAAAGGAGGTGAAAGTAAGCGAATAGCAATTTTGCGTGTACAAACTGCATTAATCACCGCGGCCTTCTCCGAACGTATCTGCTCAGACGCCTATCGCTCTTCACCGTTAAGTGGCGATAAAGAAATAAACCGCGCTTGCACAGTTTCTTGTATGGCCTTTTTATACGGAGTAATACACCGATCTCCGTTTTAAAGCGTTTGTTCGTTAGTTCAACGATTCGCGCACAAAGAAAGGCGACATTTTAAAGGCGACTGAATTAACATGAAAATCTAACTTGAAGCCTGATGCCTGCGCAAATAACAATAATAATTTGACACTTTCAAGAGAATTTATCTTATGTGCGTAACGTAAAAAAGAGTCTCTTGAAAAAGGCTCACAGTCGGAAGAAAATTTCACGTTAAAGAGACGAAAATTCTTGAGATCGTCTTCGTTCTGGAGACACCCCATTAAAACAAGTCTTATCCCGTTGTTCTATCCTCGGCAATCAACTTTTCGTGATACGGCGCGTGAACGGTTGACATATAATTAGCATTTGGGGGGCAACGAAGGCTCAGGGCTGAGGATGACAGGAGGCACAATGCACGCCCCTTCGGTTTGTTCCTCTATCCCATAACTCGCCCACAAACCCGCCCTTCGTGT